TTAAAGGGCGCCACAGCGCTTTTCCTGCAACACAGGGCCTCGCCCCCTCTTTTTCCAACCTTTGAGTGGTGTAAAACTCAAGTCTTTGGGAAGTGTATATTCAGATGGTTGGGGAACTAGAAATCCATCTGCAAACCTGTGCTGTGCGTTGATTGCATCTCAACAGCCATAGAATAAACAGAACAAAAGGGCCTTGGGGTTGTTGTTTTTTTAAAAAAAAGTTCCACTTGCCGGGTTAAAATTGCTTTAAAAGAGCATGTGTGTTAGGGTCTCTCAACCTAACTTGACTCATCCCAACTTGCTTGGGCGGGAGGAATCGTTGGGCTAATGAGCCGCACCTGGAGCTCTTGCACCTGAAGCCCACAGGTGGTGCCTAATTGGGAGAAGGTTGGCTCCCACCTTTGCAGCGGCTTCTGAGGCAATTTAATGTAAAATTAAATCATTAAAAAAAAATAATGTAAACTTTGGGCTGGCGGTTATTGGGAAGGAATTCCAGCCGAGGGAAAGGCAAAGCAGAAAGGTGTTTTTCTCCATTTTAATGTGACTTTTGGCTGCGGAGAGACGTGGGGCCTTGTCCTTCATGATAAACAGGGGCCAAAAGGACATTTTCCATATTTTTTCCCCTCCCTCCTTGTTCAGTTTTGGGAGCCCCAGATCATGACTTGATTTAGAAATGTGTTTTTTTTAAATGTCTTGCTGTAATTTGTGGATCTGAGAACCTCTGGGCCCGTTGGGTGAATTCAGTTTAGGGAATGGAAAGGTTTTGGAGAGACATTTAGAGAGGAGCAGGTCCTGATCTGTTTGCTTCATTTATTTTTATTTCCTTAGTTACTGCTGTGACTCTGGGCAGTTAAATGGGATTGAAAGCTCAGAAGGAAGCTGAGAACAATCCCCCCAATACTAAATTGTTATAAATAATTTATAAATTGTAGGTACTGTAGTTACTTATAAAGTAATGCAGGATTTTGATGGGTTTTTGCCTTCAGTTTATGTTATTGTGTTTATCAAATTTATATAGATGCCCATCGCACGGATGTGACTGTGGGTGGCATACAATTAAACCCAATTGTTAAAAAAAGAGCCTTAAATTGTTGTGTGTGTGTATGTTGGAGTTTCCATAGTATTTGGAGTTTTCTCTTGTATCAGCCTCCCAGAGTTGCTATTCTGAGATAGATGAAGATATAAAACTAATATATATATATAAAATAAATGTTATATATAGTGTGTGTGTGTGTATACACACACATAAACATATATATGTATATACACACAGACACACACTTGTTTATTTTGGGGCCCCAAGGAGTGATGGATCCCTTTTTCCTCACCCACTTCCCCATTATTTCCAGAAGATTTCAGACTCGTATGAACCATTTTTCTTCATAAAAATCTATTTTATTTAATAGGAAAAAGCATCCTCCCCCCCGCCCCCACTCAACTGCTAATTGCTACTTCAATATCTTTATAATATGCTTTGGGCTTCTGCAATTATTGCTCATTTCTTTTGGACGGTTTTAATAATTCTTTAAACCGTTTTTCTTCAAAACTCAAGAATGAAAGAACGCTAAGCTCTGAAATTTGCTTGGGGGTCCTAGTAGAGCTCTGATTCGCTCTGAGATTTTCTCATTTTCAGGATTTAAAGCAGTGGTGCAAATAGTGTTCATTTCGCTAATGGGAAATTAACAAAGTTGGAGATGGAGGTCCAGCATATATTTGCTAGACGGGGAAGCAGCTAGAAGAGGCTGTCATAATAACGCTCTGGCCTTTCTAAACCAGACCAGCTGAAATAAAAGAGGTCTTGTTTTTAAAAACCTGTCTAATTTGCTTTTTCAGATGCAAAAAACTGGGCGACTTGAGCGTGGATGAGTTTTTAACCTCTGGATTTGATTCCGACGTGGATGATGAATCGGGAGAAGATACTCCAATTTCTGGGGAAGATGAGACTAGAAAGCCGCCTTCAAAAGTGGACAGCAAAAGGAAACCAGGGTGTAATTTGATACCCGTGGAAAGGTGAGTTTTCATGACTAGGGTGGATGGATAGATAGATTTATTTACAGTGGCTTTTAAACCGCGTGCCTAGGAATCTCGGTTTGGAAGTGACTGGAGTTCCGAGATGAGAAGATGGTAAGAGCAAACCAACTTTGCTTTGTCTCCATTGTCTTTCCTTGAAGAAAATGGGAAAGGGTTTCTTCTAAAGCAGTGTTTTTCAACCTTGGCAACTTTAAGATGGGCGGACTTCAACTCCCAGAATTCCCCAGCCAGCGTGCTGGCTGGGGAATTCTGGGAGTCGAAGTCCGCAACTTAAAGGAGCCAAGGTTGAGAAGTGGTGCTCTAAACCAAAGCTGTGCAATGAACTGTATGTGATTCAACTGAGGAGAGACCCATCAACTCTGGTGCTTTACATTCTAAACATTCTAGAACAACAAAATAAGAGTTAAATTCCTTAAACTCTTCTCCATTGTCCAGGAAAATTAAAAAAGGTCACGCCTCACAGCATAAAGACCAGCTCTCTCGACTAAAGGAACGAGATCCAGAATTCTACAAGTTCCTGGAAGAAAATGACAAGACGCTGCTTAATTTTGATGACTCCGACAGTTCTGATGAAGAGGAAGGCCTTCACGTGTTGCCTGAAAAATTAGAGGTAATTAAATTATTTTCAGGATGTCCCAATACACGTCTTTGCAGCAGGAATCACCCAGCTGCTCTTGGTGGCTCTGATGCTAATTAGAATCCGACTTGGTTAAGACTCGGATCTTCTCCAAGACTGTAGACACAAAAAAAAATGAAGACCAGAGAAACCAATTTCTTTTTATTCCCGAGAAAACTGCACGACTGTGTCCCCGAAGTCACCCGTTTTGGGCTAATGCCATTTTCTTAAAAAAAAAAAACTTTGATAGGAAGCAAGTGATGATGAAGATGAGGAAGAAGAAGGAAAAACAGTTAAGCGGAAAAAATTTGACTTCATCACGGTGACATTGAAAATGGTGGAACAGTGGAAGGAAGCGGCAGAGGTAAGAGAAGCGATTCTTTTAAAAAGCAGCATTCCTTGAGGAGCCACAAATCATGCTGATTAAATATGCAAGGTGTTACCCAGAATAGATAAAGCAGCTTCTCTCTCTCTAACTCACAGATGTATGTATACATGCTTTCGTTTAATTGAGCAGAACAGGAAAAAAGAATAGAGAAAAAAGCAGAACAGAAAAAAAATAATATAAAAAATATGAGGGTTCCCATACACGTATGTAAACTTTTACACAATTTCAGTTAACAATGATCATCCATACGATTCCCTGTATTAACGGTTTTAAAAAAAGAAACGTGTTCTGCTCCTTTTGGTATTAGTATCAAGTGTAGCCAAGATGATTGATGGATGATTGATTGATTGATAGATAGACTGGCTCTCCATTTGTTGAAGATGTTTTCTTCACGTGCCCCATTTTCAGCTAATGTCAGTGGTGGTTTCTTCCAATTTTGCTGCACTGACCTCCTTCCTCTTTCACTTTTTCCCACGCAGAAGAAACTCTCGCCTAGGCTGTTCCATGAGATCACTCAAGCTTTTAAAGCCTGCGTGGTCACCGCCAAAGGGGAATCGGCAGGGCCAGATTCTGGCAAGTTCAAAGTCGCGGACAGCACAGGTAAATCTGCAAGAGCCAAGTTTTGCAAAAACGACTTTAAAAAATGAACACGCCCTGTCTTTGTTTACATTTTGCACTAAGTCGTGGTTTGCTTTTAGCAAGGCTTGATGTTTAAGTTGTGGGTTTGCTATTTATTTCATTAGATTTAGATGCTGCCCAACTCCAGGGCGGCTCTAGGGAGCACTAAGTCATAAACCATAACTTGCAAGCCACGAATGATTGCGTTCACAAAAGATACTAAACCAAAACCAAGCAAACTGAATTCGAGTTTAGGGCAATGTGTAGGCCCTGTCGGATTGAGTTATGTGCATATAAAAGATTGTATCTCTCATGACTACTAAATTCATTTATGGAATGTCCATATTTTTTTCCTCTCCTGTTTAGTTTTCAACACTCTTGTCTCCTTCTGTGTCCGTGACCTCTTTGTTCTGCTGCAAAGATTGCTTCAGGTGAAACCGGCGAAAAACAAATCAAAGTAAGTCGATAATTCTTTTTTTGCATTTGTTTACGTTTTATTCTTCCAGTCTGTGAATTGCCACCACGCAATTCACTATTCCTTCAATTCCTAAGGGCATTTTTCTATCCACTCTGAGCAGAGTTTTCATTAACTATTAATTTTAAAAAGTACAATTCTATGTCCTGTTTTCTAAAAAAACACATTAAAGCCCCAAACATGGTAAGCACTGAAGCATCTATTTATTTATGAAATAAACAGTGAATAATCGTGAAATGGATAATGCTTCGTTTATGAAATTGAACCTGGACTTTCAAGATTGTTCTTCTTGCTGCGAGTGAGTCCTAAAACAACAGCCTAAACTAAATTCTACAAAAATAGAATTTAGCTCTAAAAAACCATGTAAACTCTCTTAGCTTAGAACAAATGCAATAATCCTTCCCAAGCAATCTTGATTTAATGTGGCATCTGTGCCTGCATTGTTAAGATTCAGTTCTGGAGTCAAAGGAGGAACAGAAGCATCGCATCAATACAAATTTTACAGGAGCAAAAGCAAATGGGGTGTCAGAAAGAAAATGCCTCTTATGCTTACTCACTAGTCTATTTAAAGCCACAGCAGCTTTATTGACACAACCTGCTGAGTTGGTTAGCTTTAATTTGAGTTCTTTTGTGGCCTGGTGTGTTGAGTGTGAACTCAGTTTCAAGTGGGTGTTCTGGGCAGGGGCAGAAAATGGGTCAATCTGATTCCCAGGTCGAGCGAAGGATTGTTGGTGTTGACGAGGGTACAATCCATCTGGCGATATTTCAACTGCACTAGGATCCCAGTACTACCAAAACCCTGAAGAATAATTTCCCAGAGGTAAATCTAGGAAATTTGATAGTTGACAGGGTCAGTGTCAAATTTTCCATTCGGACCGCAAAAACCAACAGCTGGTTAGCAAGGGTACAATTAATCCCTTCTTTCTAGCTGGGGCGTGATTTGCAGCTATCTGATCTGTCTAGCATCATGGGCACCGGTGGTCTGGATGATGGTGCGCCTTTGTATATGCCCTTCTCTGCACGTGATCTCAGCTCACAGCTATCTTTGGCTGACTCTCTGAGCCGCAGAAAGCCAGGCTGGGTTAGTAGCTAGCCCAGAAGCCAGCATATTCAGAGACTAGCTTCATTCAGCTCAGACCCAAAGCAACTTGATTGCGTATTTCCACTGGGTACAGATAAGGCATAGCAAGCTGTGTGTCCTCCGGACTCGGTTCCCTTTCCGTAAAGCAGATAACAAAATCAGCCCTTGGGAAGGCAAGGAATATACATTCCCATGTTTGTGTGGGGTGCAAATTAAAATAAACAGTTTCGGTTTCTAAAATTCCAGATGGCAACAGCTGCATGCTTTTGGGAGAAGTTGCTTGGTTGGGGTAGACGTTTTCTCCAGATCTCATTGAATTTTAAATCCGTCTTGGGCAAGGAAGGCCTGTCCATGAGCCTTTCCGGTTGAACAGCGGTTAACCCAGTTGAAATTCAGGAATCTTCCATCAATTAGACAGAAGGCTGACAGCGCCTGAATCATATTTCCCTCTAAATCATGCTTTTCTTAATTGTTTTAGGTTAGTCTTGCCTTCCTCCAGCCCACTATGGAGCAAGTTGCGGTTGGACATCAAAATGCACCTCGGTTGTACCATCCAGGTAAGTTTAAGCCACTTAGCAGATTAGGATCAAATTTGGTCATTTTCTGATGCTGGGCATCTCTTCCTGTTTTTGGAAGCTCTTTTATCCCCAGTTTCTAATAGAAGAGGGTTGGGCAGAGAGATAATCCTCAGCAAGTCCATAGTTCGACTCTCAGCACCCGTCATGGCTGATGATGCAGAATTGCAGAAATTCTGCAATTCTGCAGAATTGCGGAAATGCAACATTCAGAAAGCCGTAGATCCCCTCTGCCATGGTTGAACGGGGGCAGAAGGGAGCGCGGAAGGGGATTTGAAATTGGTGTGGCCTTTGAGCCAGATTGATGGGGATTTTATCTCTGTCTTCTGTCTGTCTGCAGCTCCTGTCGTGTTTAACCCAAGCCTCAGTAACAACAGCCGTTCTCCAGCACGTCAGTGCCATCGTGCCTTATTACTTAAGCTTCCCCAAACAGTGCCGCGTGCTACTTAAGGTCAGTTCAACAGCAGGGCTGGTCAGAAGATGCAGGAACAAGACCTGGAAGCCGGATTCCCCCTTTTAAAATTGGATACCCTGGCCTCAGTCATAGATGATGGGATCCAGGCAAACTCTTTTTTGGGGGCTTAGGTTTTTCTTTTCCTTTAAAAAAAAAATTGTTTGTTTAAAATATTTAAGGACACATAAATAGCTTCACAAAAGAAAAAGACTTAGTGGATGAAGAATAAAATATCAGTAAATAAACAAAGGGTTTACAATTACATGATTTAAAATTAACAGTATAGAAATAGGTTCACTATATCATCTTAAGAAATGACTAAAACTCTCTATAAAACTCTAAACGCTAACATTAACACTATTTGACCCCCGAATTGCATTCCTAAAGGGCAGAATCCCAGTTTTAAACTAATGAGTGGTGTATTTTTTGTGACGAACGCCAAAATTACAGAGAGTCGGGGAAAAGAGGGACTGGAACCAAAAGTGAATGCTTGGATTTATCTTGTTAAGTGTTTTGTTTAGAACCAGCTTTTCAGAAGCCCCAAGTAGTGTGCATGAACCTAAACTTGTCATTTTTAAGCAACATCCCACAACAGGATGTGGAAAAGACACTAGTTAAAACTATTAACACACTGTATAAATTAGCAGTCAAAAGGCTTTGAAATTACTGCATTTTAATGAGCTTAAAAAACAGTTCCACTGGTTCATAAACATTGCATGCAGCCTCATGTGGAATAAGTAGCTTTATTTCAACTGTCTCTTCTTAAGGTTACATTAATGGGTGTTACGTTTCTGAACGATGCTTTGGGGGGCTTATAATAACTGGGTTTGCAAAGGATAGGATATCTCAGCTTGCTAGAATGTCCTTAAAGGATTACGCCTCTTTTAGAAAGCAGAGGGCGAATGAATAAGCAGGGGAATCATTTGAGGAGTGGGAATTGCCTGGCCCACCTTACAATTGCCTGTACAGCCTTACCAGCACCCCATTGTGGCTCAAGTTTTCCTAGCTGAAATTGGGTTGCACAGGGGCCCATTTCCAGCAAGGTAAATTTAGTCTTGGCTGCCCAAAGTAATCGTGGAAATCAGAGCAGGCTCTTCTAAGCCCCAAATCATTCAGCTGGAATTTGGCATAATTAAGGAGCGAGGGGATTGGCTTCCCAGTCCACTTGTTGCCCCTAAAAACCCCAAAACATAGAAATAGCTTGGTCTTTCCCATGACATCACCGAAGCAAACTCTGGGGAATGGGGTTCACATTCTTTTAGGCCAGTATTTTTCAACCTTGGCAGTTTTGATGTATGGACTACAACTCCCAGAATTCCCCAGCCAGCATGCTGGCTGGGG